CTCATGCGGAAGTGGCTTTAGCTTCTTAGTGCCGTGCTTTAACCCGCTGCATCCCAGGTAGGTAGCGTGAAAGGAGACTACAAGGCTCCGAGTGAAATGAGTGTGTGTGCGTTTCAGAAGTCTGTTCTAGGACTTCTACGAATTATTCAGCCTCCTGGTGCACAGAAGAAATGACTGCACTCTTAATTCCTTTTTATTCATCAACAGGGTGGACTAAGCGCCCAAGCTTTTGTTCGGGTGGAAGTGGAGGACGTGAATGACAACGACCCTGTGTTTAACCCGTCAACCTATGTGACGAGCATCAGTGGCCAGATGCAGCCAGGCACTGAGATCATCAACGTCCTCGCCAGCGACAGGGACTCAGGACTATATGGAACTGTCACTTATGAGCTTATCCCTGGAGACGCGTCTCCCCACTTTGCCATCGACTCCACCACAGGTGTGTGACCTTACCAGCTCTTTACTCTGAACTCAGCAGCTTCTGTATAATAGGCAGATAATTAGCAAAGTGGTCTTTTTCCACAATAGGGGTGTGGTAGGACTCACTTCACCTTTCAGAAAGGCATCAAGGTACATTGAAAAGGTCAGGTCAGGTCCACGTAGGTATGCGGCTGAACCCCAAGCTTCACCTCCCTCTGAGCTGACGCTCTTCGTTGGACTCAGTCGTCTGACCCTCAATGCAGCCCTAGTAATCCCTGTAAGACAAGTGTTTTTTAAGGACTGAAGGCAGTAAGTTGGAGAAAGCAGTTTTCATTCAGTCACTCATGTTGCAAAAGTCCATTTCCTTCCATGGCTATTGATGTGGTCATAGATGCTAGTAGTGCAAAGAGCACAGCGTGACTGGACATTGAGAGTCCCCTTCCTCATGGTCTCCCTGGCCTTCCTTTCGTCCCCTAGGGCCTTAGCTCCCCGGTCTGTGAAATGACACCCAGGGCTCCCTTTGGTCCTGATACTGTATCGCGTATCTGCCAGCCAAGTCCTTTGGGCAAATTGAGTCTTTAAGAAACAACAGTGAAGAGGTTACCCTCCCCTCCCTATTGGCTTATTACTAACAAAATAATGTTTGAAGTATTTGACTATAAGGGAAAATAAATTCGAAGTATGTAATATTAGAATAATACTTTTGAGAAGTAGACACACTGTTCCAAAAAATGAAGGTGTGGATTTTTCTTTAACATTTTTTCTCTTAAAATTTAATGTTACCTGAGAATATTTAACATGAGATCTGTCTTCTTAAAATGGTAACTGTGCAATGTGTTACTGCCGGGTGTGGGTATAAGTTTGTATAGCAAATCTCCAAAACTTAGACTCTTGCTCAAAAGAAACTTAGTGTCTTAGGATGAATAATGTCACTAATTCGCTCCCAGCGGGCCCCCAACAACCACCATTTCCCTCTTTATTTTGTGAATTGGACTATTTCAGTTGACGTCATATAGGTTGTTAGAGGTCAGTAACATACATGAAATAATGTAGAACTCGCTTTCTCTTACTGACTTACTTTACTTAGTGTAATGCTCTCTGGGGTCATCTATATTGTTGCACATTGCAAAATTACCATCATTTTTTAGGGCCGAATAACATCCCACTGTACGTGCACACATTTTCTGCACCATTCATCTACTGAAAGGCATTTAGGTTGTTTGCACATCTAGACTCCTGTGACAGTGTTCAGTGAGCACGGATGAACATGGTCCTTGGGTAGAATGTGTTTCTGTCGTGACCACATCAACGATTTCATTAGGCATGTTCTATGCTTTGTCTTATTGATGTTTACAACTTCCTTGGCATGGAACTATACTCATTAGCAACAGTAATTTGCACTGGACATCTAATCTACCAAGTTAGCTTGCCCTCTCCCCCAGCCTGGTTGGGGAGAGTCACTATTTCTTGTCTGGAAAGCGTACCTCAACTGGCTTGTGTGACCAGCTTGGGGGGCTAGTTGTTTACAATGGACATCTGGATAAGGCAAAACTTTCCTTGTCCAAAATAATCCACTGACGTGGCCCCTTTAACATTTTCAAAGATCAGAAGAAAACACTATTTTAGGAAATTAGTCTGCTTATCTTGGCTTTTTCAAAATTCATCTAAACTGAAGACTTTTGCTGCTTGTCAAATTGTCAGGCCCTCTAGGGCACTAACTTTGCCAAAAATATATAGGTCAGCTAGTAATCAGGGCACAGGATCTAAAAGCATTGGGGGGATTGTTTTTAACAGACATCAACACACTCATCATCTAGTTTCCCCCTGGAAGAGCCTGGAGAATGAGCTGTACTGTGTTCTGTTTTTAGAAGTGATCTGTGTCGCGGTGCTGGCTTCAGTCAGCCACAGGCTTCCATTCTTGGCACCAGGTGTAAGACAAATGCCATTGTTAATCATGGAGAACATTTTACGTGGGTCATATCTAGGCAAATATCATGTTTTTTTTTTTTTTTTTTTTCCCTTGAAGCAAAGACCAAATTCATAATGGAATCATCCTGGGTGATTGTGGCCGGTCATTTCAATGCTGGTGCATTTTAGGCTGAAGACATTTCTGTCTTCCAGGGCTTAGATTTGGTTGTACTTAATCATAACTCATAACATAATTCATGAGTACTGGTAGCATTTCACTTTAACCTCTAGAAGAGACTTGAGCAGCGTCTTGACTAACTATGGGAGCTATTACCCAGGAAACAGGTGGTCTCTGACTGTACAGCTGAGTTCAGATTTACCCGTTGGTTGACTGCAACATGAAATAAGCGTTCTATATTATTTGTAGTGGTTAGAATTTCAGACCATGATGTAAAAGCTAACTTAACTGCTGATGTTCGTCAAGAACAGGATGAGGAGTTTTACTGAAATGTAGTTTTCTGAATCCGTTTTTATATATGAAGCTGTTTCCACCAGAAATGTCTGTCTCTAGAGAGGCTGCCAATATAAACATAGTCTCAAGAAGTTGCCTCTATCAATAAATATTTGTGGAATAAGTGAATAAATGCTATCTAGACATGGCTGAAAAGTTACTGAAATTCTTATTACAACTTCTAAGGGTCTGTCATTGATGAGGTAGAGCAAAATTAATTTAAAACCCTCTTTTGCCATCATAGCACAGATGATGTTATGGTGTGATTCATGTTTCCTCTAAACATACCCAAACACTCTCTCTTCAGCTTGACTGTTTGGTACTGTTCTTGACATGTATACTAAATATAATCTCCCATCCCCCACACATACATACACAGTATACATATACATAAACACACACACACATAACACACATATGAGTATATATACATACACACACACACACACACACATACTCATGAGTAGTATGAAGAGGATATTGAGAACTGGTAAATTAAATTATACATCGCCTCTTCTTTCTGATGCTCTAAAATTCTCTTGGGGATACACCACTGGTTCATTCATCCTGTCATTTTGATGCTGTATCCGACAGCCTATTTTATAAGCACACATGCTTTGTGCTGTGGCCCCATGTTTTCCTGAAGACAAGCGATTTCTTACTGATGTATTTGTGCCACAACTAAAATGCCTGCATTAAAAATAGAGCTCTTTGACTTAAGTCAAAGCTGTTTTCATCTGGGTAGGAAAAATGTTTTGGAGAACACTGAAGGGGGTGTGGCCTTGTCATGGTTGTTTTCTCTTGTGGGTTTATCTTCCTGTTCTGTTTCTGGTTTTCTAGGCTTGTTGTTGGTTCAAAGGACATTTTTGTAAGATGTGTTTGGGCGCCGAGAGAGAGCTATTGGATCGAGCCTTCATGTCTCTATTCTCGGCCAGTTGGGTTCCTTTGATGTGGGCATGAGCTGACCACACTGTTTTGAGTTCGAAAAGAAGGAAACACAAGAGGCATATTTATTAATAGCTCTTTTTTTATGCATCTTTAATCCTACTTTATGAATTGGATGTAGATTTTTTTCCACTACATTGTTTGAAGTATCTCCTAGTAGCATGAAAAGAACAGTTCTTTAGCTTTTCTTCTTAACCATTTATTTAGTAATTCACACTGAAACACCTGTCCTTTCTAATTCTGATTATTTTAAAGTGACATTTTTCAAGCATTTCTGTTGGTTACTACTGTCCAATTACTTCCTTTGTTGGGCTACCTGTGGTTAAATTCTGTGGTCTGCCTCTTCTATAGAGGCAAATTAATGGTATCAAGACAAGCTAATAAAAATTCTCAAACCACTGTAACTTATCTATATGGAAACAATTTCACTCTTTCTGTATTTATCTATCCAGTGCTTATTATGTACCAAACACTGTTATAGGTAGTTTGGGCTATATCAACAAATAGTAAAAAATCCTTCTGTCATAGAGCTTGCAACAAAAGCTTATAGTTGCATGCCTGTTGTCTGTTCTGTGTTTGGCTGTGATGTACAGACATTCAGCATTACAGAAAGAAAAATTAACAGGGTCACTGTGAGCAAAGCTCCAGGCCAGGGCAGCTGGGTCTCTGTGTCTTCTTTTGTTTGCTTGGAGTGTGGAGATTTTAACACAGGCTTTAAGTAAAGCAGCACAAACTCTGATTTTCTTTATTTCAAGGGCAGATTCATTTCTAATGTTGGTTTTTGTGCTCAGATTTCAGGCCCTGTAATGATTATCATAATTCTTCATGATTACTACTTTCCTCCACTTAGAACATTCTGATATGGAGTTAATAAATTAATACCATACCTCATTTTAAAGGACATCAGCCTGCTCATGCTAAAAAAAGAGGCTTTCTTTTATTTGCAAAACAGAGACGAAAACTAATCTAATCACAGCATCTATTCAATATGTCACATTCATAGGAAACAAAGCATGTTAGGGTTTTCTCAGTTTTTCCAGCAAAAAGTCACAGATTCCTGTAGGTGGAAGTGCCTTACAATTCAGTTTCCTCACCTAGAGGAGGAGAACATGGACACTGAAATGGACTTGGTGACCTGCCGCAGGGCACATGGTTGGTAAGTGACAGAAGTGGACATGAGCCTCACCCTAGACCGGTGACTTATCCTTGTCCTGCCCTCACTCACAGTAACTGTCAATGTCTTTTCCATACAAGCCTATCTGAGGCATTGCGTCCCTTGCAGAAATAAGCAAGCAGATATTTCTATACCTGTCTGCAAATTAAGAGACTTAGGATCCTAAGAGTTTAGTGACTTACTCAAGGTCACAGTAGAAAATCCAATACTTGATTTTACTTCTTCTAATTTCCATTTCAAGGCTCTTGCCATTGTTACTTTTTTGAAAAAGTAAAGATAAAATTAAGATAAATGCCCTTTCCATTGATTCAACTAAATGAGATGGAAAGATGACCGTTCAGTATGACTTCTATAAAAATCTATTAAAATCCCAAATTACTTGTTGATTTATTCTCTCTTCTCAAATGAATAAACAGAGAAACCAGTAGAGTTTTCCAAATGAGTACATTTTTCTTTTAAGAATTGTTTTTAGTTGTCAATAGGAGATAGAATTTTGATTTGAATCATAGCAGTTTGGTTACCCAAATTTGTGTGCAAACTACAAACATAATGTCTTTTCCTTGGTAATAAGGTTCTGTATTTTCACACACTGAAATGGTGGTTTTACAGATGTCCATGGCAATACAAAATCGGTATTGATGCCCTATGGTTTGTATTTTATTTTCTTTCAAGAAAACTCCACTTATAGACTGAAGATCCTGCTTTTGAATTTAACCACCCCACAGCTTACATGTTAGTAATGGCCTGTAGTTCCTTTTCCTATTAATTATCACCTTGGTCAAGATTATGCCATTTCCCCAGGAGGTTTGATTCTGAAAGTCAGTGTTCCCTAATGAGTAGAGGAACATAGTCTTACGTGTATGTTATACTCTGATTAAGAGGGCATATTTGTCTTCGGGTTCTTTTTCTATTCTGACAATTAAACATTTTCACCTTAGCAATTTCCTCTATTTAAATAAACAGTGACAAGATTAAAAAGCACAGTAAACATTATTGCACTTTATAATCTGTGTGTCTAAATCCAAGTACTCAGCAATTAAAACAAAACAGCCAATGCCCAGTAAATGAATCTATGTCTATTATTTTTGTAACTAGGTCCCCATGATAATTTGCAAGTGTCACAAAGGAGCCAAATAGTGACTATGTTATGTACTAATACTTTTTACAAGTATTAAAATATAGTGTTACAAATTTCAAGCTGACAAATGAAGAAGCAAAGAGAGCTGTTTATTTTGTTTTCCCTTGACCATTTTATAGACAAATATGCATATTTGTATGAGGTGTATGTATAGGACAGAGCTGCATATTTTCTTGCCTCTCAACTTTATTATTTTTTAAAATACATATTTATTTATGTGTACGAGAGCTGGGGTGCAGGCCAGAGGTGGGGGTGGGCGCATTCACCGGAGACAGAGTGGGGAGCAGAACAGGTGGATCCACTGAACTACACTGCTGAAGGGAGCAGTGGGAAAAATAGGTGAGGTCTGCTGCACCATGTGGGTCACCTCCCTGGCAGGGATAGAACTCGTGCTGCAGGGGCTGCCTATAGCCTCATAGTGCTGAGACAACCCCTTGCATCCCCAGGGAGGCCGTACCCCTCAACTTTCAATAGACAACTTGACTTATTTAAGAATGGTGGAGTCCAGTAAATGAGTTTTCTAGCTCCTCTTTGTATTCAAATACTCTTTTAAAAATGAATGTTTTGAAGCATTCAGTCTATAGAAAACAAGTTCAATCCTAACACTCTCCTCTTCTAAATTCTAAGTGTTCATTCAAAGAAATCTATGACCTTTTTTCTTGGACTCAATTATAGTTTCTCTACACAAAATTGGCCTTGAAGGCCACTGAAGGAGAGGTCTGCAGCGCCATGTGCATCAGCACCCTGGCCTGGGATGGAACTGGTGCTTAGTGGCTATGGATAGCTTCACAGTGCTGCACTTTGACCCTTTGCGCCACCAGGGAGGGCCCTGAGTTTTCTTTCTTAAATCAAGCATCAATTTTGATGAATTTTAAAAACTTATCAGTAACAGATAGGAAAGATCTGACAGAGATGTGTCTGATTTGGGGCCTCTCTGGTGGCACAAAGGGTTAAAGTGCAGCACTGGGAAGCTGTCAGCAGCTGCCTCTGAAGAAGTTCGATCCCTGGGGCTGGGGACAGGCTGACCCACATGGCACGACAAACCTCTCCTGACCCGCCCGCTGCTCCCCTCAGCAGTGTACTTCCTCAGTCGCTCTGTTCTGTACCCCACTCTGTCTCTGATGAGTCCTCTTGCTGCCCCTGAGCCTCTGTCCTGTACCCCAGTTCTGTATGCATAAATAAATAAATCTTTAAAAAATATTGTCTGATTTGGTGGACCCCAAAGCAGTATGAGCCCGTATGTTAATGCAGCTGCTAAAAGCTGGTGACATAAAACCTGATTATAGGTTTCTAGTATTCTAGTATTTTCCAGAGTTCTAGTATTCTAGTCAAGGTCATGTGTAGTGTTGTATTAGTCAACTGTGAAACTGTGTGCTTACTGATGAGCCTGGAGCATGTTGACGAGGAAGGAACCCTGAGCCACATAGCCTTACCTCATGCCAGATAAGGGACAATTGAAGAAAGTGGGGTGCAGTGCCTGGAGTGGATCAGACATATATTTCCCTTCAGCTATTGATGATGGATGGATTATTCCAAAGCAAAACAGACATATTTCACTAAATCTCTAATAAAAATAGAAGGGATGGGAGTTGTAAGAGCACAGATTTGCGACTTAAAAGCAACAACAACAAATTAAGGGGGCGTCGCCTTTTTTCTGCCCAGAAAACTGATAAAACTGTTTACCAGCTTCTTATTTCGGGTTTTAATTCTTTCTCCTATCCAGGAATCATTTATTTAACCTCGACTCTTGGCCACGTGGAATCTGCAGCTCTGCGGTTGACGGTGTGTGCGCGTGACGGTGGCGGGCGTTCCTCCGTCCCTAATGCTGACGTCACCGTACACGTTATTCACACAGCTCTGGCTCCTGCTGAATTTGAAAGGCCTAAGTATACTTTCTTGGTTTATGAAGATGTGCCCGAAGACAGTCCTGTCGGAACAGTGAAGGCAAAAGAATCAAGTACGCACTCACTTCTTATCCTGCTTTGAATCCGTTATCGCCACATTTCCTGCATTTTTTGGATGCCACAACTTACTAAACCTTGCCTTCTCTCCATGCAGAAACAACGGAGGGAGAACACACAACCTGTGGCTTGATTATTGTTTCTCCATCATTATGTTTGTCTAACCATTTTTTCACCCCAATCACAAAAGAATGTTTAAAAAATACAAATAATTTTAATTTAGACAGTATACATCTCCATGCATCTTATTATCTTTGTTGTTCTCTGAATACCCCGCCCCTTTTGTTTACTGTGGATCATTTTCAAGGTAACCTGTTTCGCTGTCTTACTTGAAGAAAAAGCAAACAAACAAAACAGCTGCAGAGTATTTTAACTTTGATATAAAATGTTTGACTTAAACACATCCATTTGCTGTCCCCGGTTTGAATGGGGTGCAGTGTTTCGCATGTACAAGCTGGGTTCTTACCGCACCAGGACTTGGGGCGTGGGAGGCGGGGAGTGATTCTCTGCAGGATCCATCTTAGAAGTGAATTGCTGGTCCAGAAAGCTGGTTCTGCTCCTAGTGACTCGTCCTTTCTGTCCGCTCGCCTTTCCTCAAATTTTGTAGAGAATTTATGCCATTCTTAAGTAGGTAGCACAGAAAAAAGTCAACATAAGCATAAGTTGGCTTCCTTAAATATGTATAGCCGGCATCCAAATACTTTCCCTTTTACCTAATGCAAGAAAAATGAAGGACAGTAGTGAAACCTGCAGCCGGCTTCTTGCCTGTTGGAGGTTTCCTTTGTCCTAACACCCCTAAACCATGTGTCCACTTTTCAGTGGACTTTGCGAGCGAAGGAGGACTTACGACACTGCAGAGTATTGCTCAGATACGTATTTGAAGATTGTCGGTCTTCCGCATTTCCAGTAAACACATTGTCTGGGCATGCAGTGATTACTTTCTTTATTTCCGTTCCTTTTATGTATTTTTTCAGATTCCTCAGAGCCAATTTTTTATAGAATTTCCTCTGGCAATCTGGACGGAAAGTTCTCCATCCACCCATGGCTGGGCATCATTCGAACCCAGAAGCCTCTGGATCATGAAATGCAGCCGGTGGTGGTGCTCACGGTCCAGGCACAGCTCGGCAGCTCCCCGGCCTGCAGCAGCACAGAGGTCAACATTACCGTAATCGATGTCAATGACAACCGCCCGGTGTTCCCCAAAGCTTCTGACGAGATTCAGATACCCCCAACCACACGGCCGGGCACAGCCTTGTACTGGGCACGAGCGGAGGACAGGGACAGTGGGCGCAGTGGGTTCATCCGCTACTCACTAGCCGGCCAGGCCCCCAGCCTCTTCTCCATCGACGCTCGGCTGGGGGTGCTGTACCTCAACCGCAGCCTGGGAGCTGACGAGCCCTCAGCTCACGTGCTCACCGTGCTGGCCCGGGACCTCGGCGTTCCTCCGCGGGCGTCGCAGCTGCTGCTCACCGTGGTTATTCAGAAGGAGTGTCCAAGCCCGCCCTTGGCTTTCGCCCATCTGGTCTACCGCGTGGACATTAGTGAGTCCTTGTCCCTGGCGACCCAGATACTGCGAGTTCAGGCCCACCCGCTGCGCCCCGGGCACGGGGCCTCACAGCCCCGCTACTCGCTGGAAGCCGGCTGGGACGCTGCAGGCTTCGGTGTTCATCCCTACAGCGGGTGGGTTTATCTGCGGCGACAGCTCGACTACGAAGTGACGCAAACATATCAATTTAGAGTGTTTGCCTGGATCCCGGAGGACAGGCGGTCGCAAAACGTGAGCACTTCGGTAATTGTTCATGTGCTGGATGAGAATGACAATTCCCCTGCCTTCTTGCATGAGGTGTTGTTTCTGAAAGTGGAGGAGAGCCCCCTTCCCCAAGGGGTCATAGGCAAAATTACAGCAATTGACAGAGACTCGGGAAAGAATGGACAGCTGTCATATTTCCTTTTGTCAGATGGAAAATTCTTCAAGATGAATCCTACCACAGGTAGCATTTTGCAGCTTCCACTTATGCCTTTAAAATTGGGATTGACCACAGTCAAATCTTACAACGTTAGGGCAAATATACAATGAAAATTCCACTTTTCTAGAAATTGTGCTTGATTCTAGATTTGTGACTTTAAATTCTAGAATTGTGACATTAAAAGAAAGTAACCATTGAATAGAATTTTACCCATAACGATTGATAGTTCTTCTTGCCTTACAGCGCTTTTTGTCAATGTGACTTTTACTCTGAATTAGAGATACAGAGACAGAGTGGGAAACAGAACAGGTAGATCTAGTGAAGTATGCTGCTGAGGGGAGCAGCAGACAGGTCAGGAGAGGTCTGCTGGGCCATGTGGGTCACCTGTCTGGCGGTGGAGGTAGGGGGAGGGTCAAACTCCCAGCTGCAGACAGCTTCATAGTGTTGTGCTTTAACCTGTTGTGCCACCAGGGAAGGCCCCACCTTTTTTTTTTTTTTTTTAAGATTTATTTATTTATGCATACAGAGCTGGGATATAGGCCAGAGGTGCAGGGGTGGTGAGAGGATTCACCAGAGACAGAGTGGGGAGCAGAATAGGCCGACTGATGAAGTCCACTGCTGAGGGGAGCAGCAGGCGGGTCAGGAGAGGTCTGCCGTACTGGGCCCCACTGTTTTAAAAAAAATGTTTCAAGCATTTTTTAAATTAAAATATAAATGTCACTGATGTAAAACTAGAAATCAACCCATTAATTAAGATCTCTATTTTCCTCTTCTAATTTTGATAAGAGAAACATATTGAAAGGGCAGATATTTATGGAAAGTTTTTTTTGAGTAATTATGAAATTAAATATGAAGATGTTATTGTTCTGAAAATTTGAGGTGGCCTAAAGTTTGAAGGACTCTGTTTAGTCCCTGCAACCATCTACATTAATGTTTCTGCTGTGGTTATACCACTGGGGAGCCTGAGACTCGGCCAGCTCACCTAGCTCAAAGCTTGGAGAAAATGAGCGAGTCACCTCTTTGCACACTTCTGTGGGAACACCCATGCCCCTGGCTGCCTGTCAGTGGCTCTCCCTTCCCTAGCGTGAACAGAACTGAATTCTGCCAAAGACCCTATAGTGTGACTCGGGAAAAGATGCCCCTCTTCCTGTCGTCGGTGGGCTCTGTCCTCCACCCTCGGGGTGTCCTGCTAGAGCTGGGGACTCCGGCTCCACGTGGCGGAGCCCAGGCCAAGCCTCACTGCCTTGCACCACTGACCTCCAGACAGCTGCTGCTCGTCAACCAGAATTGGTGCATCCGGTAAAAACGTATTTGCCATTCAGGATTTGGGCTTTTCAGAGGAAAATGTCAGTTTGGAACTTTAAAGATGTGGTGGTATTTTAAGTGATATTTATAAAAATCACACTTATCATAGACACTGTATCCAGATAGTTTATGTAGTAAGGCGTGTAGGTGCAGTAATCACTGCATTTAACTCTTCCATTCTGCTGCTCACCCAATGGGAATTTTCTTTCTTTATTCCCAACTTCAGCTGTTTGTTTTCTTTCTTGCATGCTGTCGTTTCCTTTGGAATAAGAAGGCAAAAGCTCTGAGAGATGGCAGCGTTAGAGCTGGGAGTTGTTTCATGGGCGCTTTCTTGCTATTGATTATTTTCTTAAACAGTGAAGAAACTCACACCCGCAGAGCTCGGCTGGAGGGGGTGGGCCATCCTGCTGGAGAGAGCACTGGCCCCCCAGGCCTTGGCAGTAGAGAGAAGCAGCTACACTTTTATGTCTGAGTCTCTGTGGCTAAACCTGAGTGCAGTTGGCCAGGAGACAATTCTTAGCAAGAATATGTAAAATAAGACTTGTAAAACATTAATTGGTGTTGGCAAAGCCACTAGCTACACATATATTTTGTACCAAAGTAAGACGTAACTGTACACATAAAAGATAAACCGTTGGCTGCAGAAATGATTTGACTTTGTTGAAGAGAGTTGGCCATTATTGTAAAGTGATGATAACAACTACCATCTGTGTAATCATTTACAGCCTATAAAATAATTGAACTTGTGATTGCATTTGCTTGTGATGGGCCTAGGAGGTCGGCTCAGAGGAGACCTGCTGTGTCTGCTGGAGACAATCAGGGACCAGCTCGAAGCTGTGAGGTTCTGTCCAGCAGATGAAGAGGAGCAGGCCCTGATTTTGAATCCTCCGCGTAGTGATAAAGTTTGCTCAGAACAGTTTATTTTTTTGTTTTCATGAACTGACTTCTTTATTTTAAGTGATTGATGGCAGACACTATGAAATGCAAAGAGTGAGAAGGTTAAAGTGGCATTTTCACTAAAACCCTCAGAAAACCCTCTCAGCTGTAGTGCCAACTGCTTAGCAGTGTGTTCTGGAAGGTGTGCTTTTGCACAGCGCTTTTTATTTGGTTTTCCTTTCTATGCATTTGCTGGGGTTTGGTCAGGGTGGACAATCCCAGTGCACGGCGTCAGCCCCTTTCCTTCTGCTCTGTGCTCCTCAGGTGAATTCATCAGTTGGGTGGCCCTGGATCGTGAGCATCAGGGACACCATGAGGTGACTGTCCTCGTCACCGACCACGGCACCCCGCCGAGAAACGCCACCACCTCGGTTTATGTCTCAGTCACCGACATCAACGATAACAGGCCTTATTTCCCCCAGAGCCTCCCCGGGAAGGCGTTGCACATCAAGGTTTGTGGAGTGAAGTGGCCTCGGAAGCAGGTCCTAAGATTCTGAGTCATTGTTTTGAGCACCATCTTGTGGTAAAAAGTGTGAATTGATCAACTCAGTCTTGGTGGCAATGCATGCTTGTCTAGAAACCTGCCATTGTGCACATGTCAAAAAGAAATACTGTTTTGAAAAAGAAAATGGTTCTAGGTGCTATTTGAGATCACACCTCCAGCTGTCTTACAGGATAGAGCCCCTTGCCACCTGTGGCCGTAAAGGTGACCCATGGTAGCGACGCTCAGTTGGGGTCAGCCTTCCAGGAAACTGCACACATCTCCTAGTGTAGAACTCGATAGTGCCTCAAGATGGGGGGATGTTGGTGGCTTCACGTGAAGAGATATATCTCGAGAGATGATGGGAGTTGATCATTCTGAGCACACACAAAAGCTTCTAATCCTATTAATGCATCTTTTCCATTTCCTTGTCTTTGAAGACTGTGTAAGGTACATTATCCGTTGGCATGTAAGTACATGTCTATAACTAATAGGTACGTATATCTTGGAGGTACTCATAAAACAAGCGGGTTCGGTGCATGGAAATTTGAGCAGCACTGCTCCATAGTGGTTGAACTGGATGCTCAGATGGGCACTCACAGACACATAGCGAACTACTTAACAAAATAATTCAGGAGCTTTCAACTCATCTTGCAGAGCTGTATTTAGAGAAAATTCTGCCAAAGTAAGACATTCTGATATTGTTGTTATGTGTTTTGGTTATGTCATTAGACTATCACATGGGCAATTGGAATGCGCATGTTAATTTTCATATTCCTGAAAGTGACTGTTAATTATTGATCTATGTACATTTCCCAGGGGAGTGTGTTTTCTGAAGTGTAGTTTTATAGTGATATGTAGCATTCTTTGGACCATACCAATAGCCCTTTAAAAATATCCACAGGATAGGGCCCTCCCTGGTGGCGCAGCAGGTTAAAGCACAGCACTAAGAAGCTTAAGCCACTTCCACATGAGTTCAATCCCCGCCTGTCCTGGAGGTGACCACATGGCGCAGCAGACCTCTCCTGACCCGCCCGCTGCTCCCCTCAGCAGTGTACTTCGTCGATCTGCCTGTTCTGCTCCCCACTCTGTCTCTGGTGAATCCTCTCACCCTCCACATCTCTGGCCTGTATCCCAGTTCTGTATGAATAAATAAAAAATAAGTCTTAAAATATCCACAGGATAAAAATATCTAAGGGAAAAGATGCTAGAATTCTTAAACTAATCTAAAAATCTAAGATTGGTGAATTAATTCAATTTCCTTTTTATTTATTTATTTATTCATACAGAACTGGGGTACAGGCCAGAGGTGCAGGGCAGTGAGAGGAGTCACCAGAGACAGAGTGGGGAGCAGAACAGGCAGATCAAGGAAGTACACTGCTGAGGGGAGCAGCAGGCGGGTCAGGAGAGGTCTGCCAGGCCATGTGGATCACCTCTGGGGCTGGCGGGGATCGAATTCATGCGGAAGTGGTCTAAGCTTCTTAGTGCTGTGCTTTAACCCACTGCACCACCAGGGAGGCCTCAATTTCCTTTTTTAAAGAAAATCAGAATTAGTTCAATTGCCCCAAACAATTTGTTGAAATTGGTTTAAAGCTTTAATTTTGCTTTATGGATTCTTTTTATGGATTTACACCCATATAACTTTTTATGGTAGACATTTGAATTTGATATGGATTTTAAAATAGTTTGAAATGTTTTGTAGTTACATATTCTTTTATTTAAAAGTTCATTGATTTTTTTTTAATTTTCATAATTTGTAAGTCATTTGTCTTAATGACAGGTTCTGGAAGGTCAACCTGTAAATATGTTGGTTACCACTGTATTTGCAAAGGATCTTGATGAAGGAAACAATGCAGAAGTTACATATTCAGTATCTCCAGGTAAAAGTCACTTTCCTTTAAGGGAGGAGAATGCTAAGAGTCTCCTCTTCGTCTAACAACTATCTCCTTTTCTGAAAATAGTTGAATTTGAAAATAACAGCAGATTACAAACAAAATGTATTTGTTATTTTCTGAAATCATCATAAGTAAAAAAAATTATAAGGATCTTCACCATATATTTCTGAATGTCTAGAATATTATTTCTATTAACTTCTAGGTGATAGCAATATAAAATAGGTGATCTACATTATGTTATTCATTCCTTTATTTTCACTTCATGTCAATGGAAGATAGAGACAACTACAAAATACAAAACTAAATAACAAAATAAAAATCTATATAATAGGACTTATGTAATGGTATTCCTGTGAGAAAAAATAGAAATCACAACTGAATAAGTTACACAAGTTACTGTCTCCATACTCTGACTTTCTAAAAGACAGGAATTCTTTTTTTCTTTTGTTTTTATAGCTGCTACTAGTAAAGTTTCTGTATCATGCTAAGATACATTGGCTGTCAAATAAAAAAAAATCAAAGCATCTCTAGGTGAGAATTTGCCTGGATTTTTAAAATTGTTTGAAGTACTTAAATTTTATTAAAGGATACAACTCTTTTATTGAACTATAAACTATGGCAATAAATCTGAATTGCAGGTATCAACGTGGACTTATAAAATATTATAGTGTTTGTATGTGTGTATTCTCAGACCAGTGAAAAATCTTAGAAACCATAAGAAGTACCCTCAGAATATGGTCTATGGAAACCGTGTTCCAGCAAGAGGAACCAGGTATCCTTGGAGAAATGGCTGACACTGGGCAGGAAATCTACAAGACCAATTTTCAGAATCTTGTCCTAGCAGATGCAAGGGGTTACTTGAATCATATTAAAGTCTCAAGAGCTGTTGTTAAGAGGATCCCATTTTCTGAAGTGGGACAATGTGAACATCAGTAAATTGGGATTATATCGAAAAGCTTTCACTTCATGTCAATGGACGATAGAGACAACTATATAATATAAGACTAAATAACAAAATAAAAATCTATATAATAGGACTTATGCAATGGTATTCCTGTGAGAAATAATAAAAGGGTCAAAGCTTAGAAACTCATACACATCTATTCATGCTTAATGATTCTTACTGATTGTAGCTGGCACACTTGAGGATGTGAGTGAACCAGTCTGTCATTTTGAGTACTCTTAAAGTGTAGCATCAAGCACTGCTACAGTGAAGTATTCCGCAGGGTGGCCAGCAAGGAGCTGAGAGGGAGTTTCTGTTTATGATTTCCAAAAGGAAACCCAAAACAGCACATGGGAAATGTCTTGCCCCCGAAGGTGAATCTGAATCTGATTACTTCTCTAGATATATATCCCAACTTAAGGGAAACAAAGGAGAGGGAACATGTAAAGCTAAACATTAGAGACAAACAATAGTGAGACCTAGACCAGAGAAACTTCAGGCTATATGATCCAGCTCATGTACCAGCAGCTCAGTAGCTGAGTTACAAGGACGTAATAGCAGATGGTAGCAGGAACGCATGGCTGAAGAGCGTACAAGTATGGATTTTAGGTCGGTTCTTGTTTGAACAAAATGAAATGATGACCAGAAGTTTAAAGACGAAATAGGTATGTAGGAATTGTTGATTTTTAAAAAGCATAGTAGTTACTGTGCTTATGTTAAAAATGTTCCTTCTCTTCTAGACATGCGTGTTTTAATATACACAGAAGAAATGATACAGTTGCTGAGATTTCCTTTAAAAAAAAAGGAAAATACATGAATGGGAACTAAAGAGTAGCCTTGAGTTGATAATTACCGAAACTAAGTGGCAGACACATGAGAGTTTATTGTATTGTTAGCTTTCACTTTTATGTATCTGAAAATTTCCATAGAAAAGTTTTTTTAAGATTGATTATATTTCTCGTTTTTATGTTTAGTATTCTTTTGATGTTCACACTTCCATGGAGCATAAGCTACATCAACCTTCCAGATGAACACAGATGTATTTCGATTGATTAATTCTGTTTTCTGCATTGTCAACTAACACTCACTTTTTAATCTTTGTATGAATGTATAGAAGATCATTCTGATCACTTCAAGATTGATGCCAACAGTGGTGAAATAAGAACAACCACAATACTTGCCTATGACCACAGGCCTTCCTACAGGATGACGGTCACTGCCAGTGACCAGGGAGTGCCACCTCTTCAAGGACAGGCAGTTATTAATATTCAGGTACTGTCCTGTCATTACCATAAAATGTGGAAGGGAAGCTTGCGGGCTTCATTTGATTTATATTCAACTGTATAAGGTAAAGATACAGCAAGTCGAGAATGCCGTTTTCAGAGAGTTGCACATACACGTGTCTGTTTATCAGCACTAGAGAAATGATTACACACAAATAATTTTTCATTTCAACCTTGTTTGGTTCCTGACAAGATGTTTAACTTGATTGCTCTATGGGCATTTATGTTTCTTTGCTTATGATGAGAAAAATGAATGTTTTTTTTTT